CTGATCTCGGCAATTCTGAGCTTAGAGCTTTATTTTGGTTTTAAACCTCAAACTGAATTGGAAGAACTAGAAGCAACTCTAATTAAAGCCCTTGGAGGGGTCTAGATTTTTTTAATTATAGTAACAGAATATTTACTGCAAAACAGGTATAATCAGTGAAGTTTCTCATGGGGTTTTTTTCTTCTGTGTATTTGCGTGGACTGTAGGAAAACGGGTTCCCTTCTTGTGAAGTGACAAGTGTGCTTTCCTTAGGTGACTGTAGAGCTGTGGAGTCTTAATGCAGGTGAAGTAAAAAAGGATGTAAGAGTGCAGTCCGTTTTGAAATACGTGTCGTTATTCGGTAATAGTCTGACTCTTGGCATTAGGTAAACCAATAGTGTTTGTTTACTATGTTCTGAACAGTTTAAGTGTTCAGGCTGAGAAGAGGTTGGAGAAACTAGCAAACTGATGCTTAAGTTTGGGTTTCATGAAGCTGTTTATAAACAAATGCCTTGAAGTGTTCAGTTTTGAGGGACCAGCCAAGAATGGCACAAGGTTGTGCAGGTTTCTCTCTACAGCAGGAGGTCTTAGTTAACCTGGAGAGGCTATAATTTATGACAGTTAAGACAAGGGAAGGCTGAAATAGTTGGTGAGCTTACGGTTAGGTGTCTTGTATTGAGGGTGGCATGGCTTGATTAGTCCTGGGGCCAAGTACAGATCTTCAGAAGTCTAAATCAAAACGGCTCTTTAGTAACCGCTATGGTTTGGTTTGTAGCTCTTGCTGTGCTTTGTGTGGCCAGCCTGTCTGTTGGTGTAACCTTTTGCTTCTTGGTTTGAAGAGCATCTTTTTACTAGCACCACAAAGCTGCTACTGTGCATATGGCTTTGTGTAACCTAGTATAAAAAAAATCCAGTTACCAAGGCCATGGCTTAATCCTTATCATTTAAAGCAGATGAAGCAGGTAATTACTTCTCATTTCTTAAACTTTTTCAGGCAGTCTTTCATCTTCATGCTCCGACCTGGGGTCTGTCTAGCACTTTACAGTTCATCCTGCTTCAAAATAATCAGAAGAAACACCCTTCCCTCCCCACACATGCCTCTTTGAAAAAAGTGTTTCAGAAGGTTTTTTTACAGCTTATGATACCACATGAAGTTCAACATAGTATACTAAACCTGAGGGTAAAATGAGAGGGTTGAAATTAAATAGATTGACTGCCACTGACTGGATCACTTCCCTTTGTTTCAGAGGAGGGTACATTTGTTGTTTGGACAAAAGTAGGGGGCAATGTGGGAGAGGAGGGAAAACTTATCACAGAATTAGGTGACCTGTCTGGACACTTATTCAGAGCGAGCTCTTCAGCAGGTGTATTAAAACTATTGGCCTTAGGTTTACGTTCACGTAAACTGAAGTGAATTGAATAATGTTTTAAAAACAACTGCAGTCACTAAGTTCTTCTAGACACTCCTGCTTTATGAGGTGGTTGGATTTCCCCAAGGCTTCCTTTCCTATAAGGAACAGATGAGTTAGTGTGAATGTTTTGACTGCCTCAAGGATGCTTGTTCTACAGAATGGGATGAAAATTCATCCTTGCATACTCAGATGACCGAGGAGGAAGCTTCCACTTAACTGACTTTTTTTAACCTCAAGGAACTGGTAGATGTGAGCTTTGAACCATGGTGTACAAACTGTTTCTTGGGCTGCAGAGGTAGAAATGCAAGGAAACAAACAGTTGGCTCCAGTGACTTCCTTGTTTTATTAGAGTATTCCTATTAAAATCTCATGGTATCCCTTTCTGATCAAGTGATGTGCTATTAGCCTGTCTTGTAAACACTGGTACTTCTACACTGATAGTGTCTGTGTCCAATCCTGTGCCACACTGCTTCAGCCTTGCCTTTTTCTGTACTGCCAGGCTATGCTGGGACTGGAGGGGCCATGGTTTCTGTTCACACAAGGCATCCCTTTTGGTGGCAAGCTTCTGGGAATCTCGCTGAGGGCATACAACTTAGGGGTTGTGTTGTGAGCTGACTCCCACATTCAGAGGGTTCATGTAGTGTTAATACTCTAAAAGACTCAAGTGGCACTTACAACAGCTCTGCATGGAAAGTCAAGTGCCTTGGCCATTAAGAGCTGGGCTAGCTTTATATGCAATCAAACTAAATTTTTATGCTATTGGATGGGTTTTGTTTAATATTATACTTTGGTTGTGAGTCAGGCAATGCTGTGCATGAAGGCTGACCTTGCAGTTTCTACTCGCCGGTGTTGAGGTGGGATGGAGAAGGAAGGATTTAAATATTGTCTCTGCTTACCTCTATGATGAGCTTGTATTGAATCAAGTTGGTCAGTATTTTACCTAAAAGACAGCTGTTACTTTAAAGTGACCAGATAAAGATGTGGTATTTCTATTGGCAGGGGGGAGGAGGCATCTCCACTTCCCTCTTGGCTGTTACTAAATCTTTTTATTGCAGTTGCATAGCACAGTGGACTTAAGGCAACTTAATAGGCAACAACACTAAGTTTGTCTTGCCAGAGAAATGTTTAACTTGGAAGCTCTGTGTTGGGTAACACAGCAGTTACAACCACCTTTAGGATGCTTGTTAAAGTAATACTTGAAGGTTGAAGCCAATCACAGTTACACTGAGAAGTTGCTAAGGGTCACTTGTCTACAGCAGTTTATCTACTGCCATCAAAGGCAGACTACTCTTGAACTAGGACAAAATAAACTTTGACTACACAATGAGATCGTTTGGGAAGTGTTTCAGTAGTAACACAGCTTGCTCTTAAGTTGCAATCTGTAGCTCTTATGCCATGAGTGTTTATGTGCGAGCTGAATTCTGTTCATCTGTAGAACATGTGGACCATAAGCAAAGAAAGCCTTTCAGCAACAACTTATGGAGTTCAGATGCTATGTGTTATGTTTTCTCCCAGTTTTTCCACACAGCCCTGGCAGGGAGCTCTGTTCTTTTCCCCTCTTGCTTATCCGGTGGCTAAGAACTAAAAATCAAGCTTGCAATGCTCTTCTAGTTTGGAATCTCTGGTGTAATGGCTGAATTCGGTCTCCAGTGCAAATGTTTGTGCTGTAGAGGCAGAATCTCTGAAAAGGAGGAGTTATCACATGCCATTTCTATACTAAGGAGTGTCCTGGATGAGGAGGCTGATGTATAGCATAATATAGAAGATGACCAGAGGAAAATGTCTTCACTTACCAGCGCGTATCCCAGAATGAATGCTTGAAGATGATTAATTTGTATTACTGTACCAAATCTGTGTAACAAACAGGTGTGAATAAAATACTGTGCATGGCAAAATACTACTGCTCAGATGTTTGAAAACCCTGTCTTGAGGGCACTTCTTGATTGTGGACATGTTGGTTCTTGTATGTAGTGGTCAATGAGAACTTAGTTTGAGTCGTTGCTTTTCTGAGCATCAAGTCATGACAAAGCTGGGGGGGAGGGAAGAAATCTTCAGTCTGGGCAACCTGCCAAGGGGTATACTGATTGTCATGGAGTTGTCAACCTCAAAATTCAGGGCACATAAAGCAGTTTGCACCAAGCAATCCAGTTTAAGGGAGAGGTTTGGGCTGGACAACATCCAAAGGTCCTTTCCAGGCTAAATAATCTTATGGTGTGTTTGTAGGGTGACAGTCCCTTAGTCCCTAGTTAATTCTGTTTAGGACAACTAGTTATCCTGAAGGTTTTTTCAATATTGTACTCTAACTTCCACTGTAGGTCTTGTGTTTCCATGCAGTGGAACTTGATGGTGTGGTATGGTAGTTCCATTGTCTTTCTGGTGTGGTAATGTCCAGGCAAATTTGAGATTCTGGTAGGTCTGTTGCTTCTGTGCTTCTGGAGTAGTGGTTGCTGCTGTACATCAAGGCTTTCCATAGCAGTGTTCCTTAACTGGTCTGCTGTTCTCCTTAAAGCATTCCACCAGGATATGAACAGCTGGGGCCTGTAGTTGTCCTGCTGTGAGGACACAAACATCGCTGTCCTCGCATCTCCTTTTTTGCCATTGTGTGTCGGCAGTACACATCTTTGTATTTTTCAGTGTGGGAATCCTGATTCGTGGCACATCTGCTCTTGTATCAGTCACTTCTCCTTTTGTCCCCGGTGAGCTGCTGCTCTGCTAATCAGGGAGTGGCAGCTGGCCCTTGTGTTTCTGTCACAACTACTGTCTAGCTACTCTTGAAACAAAAAGGGCAGTAGTATTTTAACAGGTCTCCAGCAATTAATTACTCAGCTTGCATGACGCACAAAAAAAGCTTGTTAGCTCCAATAAACAAGATCTAGTTTACTTTTTTTATAGCTTTGCAATGTCAAGGAGAAGAATAGGAACTGAGAATTTCTTGCAATAAAGAAGGATTTTTTTGTTTGCTTGTTTCCCAAAAGCAAATTAGATTTGCAGTATCAAAAGGCAGGAAGAGTATATAAAAACAAAAAATGCTAATGCCATGTCATAAGACACTCTGCTGAAAGCTTTTGCAACTTGTTCCTGCCAGAATTTATTGTGTATCTGCTTTTTTTCTTAGCCTATGTAGACTGGAGATCAAAAGTCATCTTTCTTCCTGTAAGTAGATCTAGGTATAACTCTGCTTCCAGGGTGAGACTAAACTGCATCAGCATTAAAGAAGTACTTTCCAAAGATGTCAAGCCTTAAAATAAGAGCAGTAAACACTTAATTTCATGTTGTTTGAGAATGCATGTGTGTTTTTTATTTGGAAAGTGCTGTAGATAGCAGTCATGTAGGATGGTTTTATGAATAAGAACAGCTTGTTCAGCTAGTAGCTGCTTTAAGGAAACCTTTGGTGCTTTATTGGTGGTGCTGTTGTCACAAATGCCTTTTAATACCTTTTCCTACTCATCTTTTAGATATCAGCGACATGGTTTTCTTCTCAGTGGATTGAGATGACCCATTCTTCAGGCTTGCTAGGCAAAGTTTTCATCTGGTCTTTCAGCACTAGTGAGATGCTCTACCTGCATGCTACCAATGTCATGGGTGGTGACCGTGTTTTTTCTCTCTGCAGATCTGATTGGTTGCCTGGCACCCCATCTGTGGCAAGCAGGACAATGGCTGCCAGCAAGAGCAAGAACCAGAGTTCCTTGGCCCTCCATAAAGTTATTATGGTTGGCAGTGGAGGTGTGGGTAAATCTGCACTCACTCTTCAATTTATGTATGATGAGGTAAGTAGCTTTGGATCAGCTTCTCTAAAGCACCAATGGATATGGCTTACTAAACATTTTTTTAGAAAATAGCAAAAAACCTGATGACCTGACTGGCAGGAGGAGAATGTAGGAATCTGAGAAAGGGTGCCTTCTGGGAACATCTTTGGCTAAAGGTGACAAAATTGATGCTTATTATTGGAAGAACAGTCTTCAGAAGACCTGCAGAATGTGAGTGTGCTTGTCTTGAGTGTACAGAGGCTGTTAGCAGTTGGCATTAAACTTAATTTTGTGGTAGTTTCTTTTAGGCCAGTTAAATTGAAATTGAAAGTAAACATTGTAATTCATTCTAAGCCAGATAATGAAGTAGGCATGTTTGTCATGAATTCTTCTGTACTGGTGTACAGGAAGCTCGATCAGACAATCCAGACTAGTTTGTGAAGGAATACCAATTTATGAATTGCAGGATCATGTATTTATCTGTAGTGATGCAAGTATCTGAAGAGGTGGCATAGTCATTACTGAAGGTCATTGAGCTCAGTCAGGCTCATGGCACAGCCTTTTGTTGTACTTTGAGGCTGAGAGAAAGAAGATGGAAAGGTAAGGAGCCTATCTTAGACATGTACTGTCAGCACAGAACTGTAAGTTGAATTGGCAGTGACTTTGTTGGTCAGATCAATTTTGAATGGACTAAAGTACATGCCTGTGTAATTATGGAGTAGATTTTCATGTTCGACAGCTGGATGCTGTCATCTACACCTGTTGGAGCCACACATAGCTGTACCTGAAGTACACTCCAGTGCTTGCTCTTGAAGCAGGAGATCTAGCGAATGCCACCAGGTTGCTGGTAACTTATACTGTATCTTTGTCCCTTAAATTGTGCTGAAATTGCTGAACAGTTTCATGTAGCAAGACAACTTCTCTTGACTAGGCACACTGGCTCTTTGACGTATTAAGTGCTTAAATAACTTGCTTTCTGTAGTAAAATTTAAAAAATGGTAGAGCTTATCTAATAGAATTGAGAAGGTTTTCAGGAATTTAAATGTCACTAAAGTGAAAGAGAATGGATATGGACAAATGCTGAGAATGTTTGTTTGACAGCAATTCTAAACACTAATCCCTGTCTTATCTTCAGTTTGTAGAAGACTATGAACCTACAAAGGCTGACAGCTACAGAAAGAAAGTAGTTCTGGATGGTGAAGAAGTTCAGATAGACATTCTGGATACAGCAGGACAGGAGGATTATGCAGCTATCAGAGATAACTATTTCCGCAGTGGGGAAGGGTTTCTCCTAGTCTTCTCAATAACAGAGCATGAATCCTTTACAGCGACAGCAGAATTTCGGTAAGGAGTTTCTCTCCCAGGCCAGGGGAAATAGCTGGTTCTTATGTTGCTCTGACAACTCTTTGTAAAAGCTACAACTCTTTATCCTTTGTCCATTACCATTTGGTCAATAAAAGTGGCAACCCAACCACTGTGCTCTCAGTAACTGGTAACTTAAACCACAGTATCCAGCCTCTGGCTCTAGTTGTCTTCATGCCTTCAGCTTATGAGTACATTGCGCGAGCAGCAACTTCAGGCAAGTAGCAGATTCTTGGACTCCTAAAACATGTGTATTCAAGCCAATTTTCAGTCTTTGTGGATGTGAAGTTTAATTATCTTAGAGCAGTACTTCTGGAATTAAGTCTGCCTTTTGGCCAGGTTTCAGACACACTATTGCTTACTGCTAAAAGCAGGTGCTCTAAGGAAAGGAAGGATTAGCCTCCACTCAGGTGTGGATTGGTGCCAAATAAAGGTTGGCAGCCAAGCAGCACTATTGTAGGCAGATGTATTCCTAGAAAGACACACAGTAGTAGTAAGTGCTTCCACTTTTTTTTCTTGGGATTAGCAGTTCTAATGCAAAAATCGGCACCAGGCTCTGCACAGAAACTGCTTGTGTAGTGTAAAAGAAGAACAAGGGGTTGAATCCACTGTTCTGGTCTCAGAACTCATGTAGCCAGGTTCTTCAGGGCAAGTGTTCTAACTTTTATTTGATAACAGCTATTGCCTCAGTGTAGAAGGTAATCCAGAGATTCCATAGGACAGCTGTAGAACTTGAAGTAAAACTTGTCAAAACACAGGGAAAGTGTTAGGAGTTCCTTATGGGTGCCAGAATAAAACCTCTTTATCAGTCTGGCTTATGTTCACATTGCTTCAGTGATACAAGGGGAAAAGATACCAGTAGGTAATGCAAGTGCTGGTGTGAAGGCAGACACCTACTTCTAGGATTTTCTTAAAGCTATGGCAAACTCCCCTCATGCTCTAGGACTTTTGATCCAGGTTCTTCACTGTTCCAGCAATAGTAGGAGACTGAATAATCTTTTAAAAGGTGTGTTTTTAAAAAAAAATACTGCTGCTTTCCTCATAGAATACTTCTGTGACTTTGCTAGGCTTCAGAAGGCTGACAGTTATGGGGCACACAAGCAGAGCTGTTCTGCTGGGTTTGATCTAACCAGAGGACTTCAAGGAACTAAACAGTTGAACTGTTGTCAGACTACAAAACTGAGTATTCAGATTGTTCCTACTGTAAGATGGAAGAAAGTCAGATACCATTCAGAAAACGGGAAGAAAATGAGCCACTTGGAAGTACCCAGCCTGGGTTTTGGCTTGTGTGCTTAAGTGAATGTAAGGTTAAACCCAAGGCTTAAGGCTTTGGATGAAAAGGAGTAGGAGTGTTTATCTTGGTAGTTTGTGGTTTTTGTCAGACTTCTGTAACCAGGTTAACAATGTGTTGGCTCAATATTCCAGCACAATATAACAATGAAAAAGCAATGCTAGCCCTAAAGATGAACAAGAAGGACCCAAATGTTTGGAGACGGAGAATCTCCTGCTTTGGGTCAGAAGTAAACTAACAGTGGAAATTGTTAAATGGAATGCTTAGTTAAGCTGACATGTAAGAACCAGCTCCTTGGAAAACTTCTCCAGGAAGGAGGGGGAGAATGGGTAGTGTGAGTCACCAGCATCATGGGTTGAACTACAGATTGGTGGTATTGATCCTCTAACTTCCCACTGAATCCTGAATGAACTATGGGCTTGTCTCTAAGCCCTAGCCCTCCTGCTGATGCTATGCATCTGGTGTTTGCTTTCAGTGCCTCTGTAATCTGAAAATGTGTGAAGGTAGAGTTGAATGCAACAGCAGATTGCCTGCTTCAGTGTTAACGCTATTTTAGGTTCTTTATGTTTTCTACATACATTTGGTTATTTTGTGGTTGGAAAGTGCAGGCATCTGAAACAGTGTGGTAACTCAGTGGGATGAGGGGGTGTGTAGCACCATGCTTATATCTAGTTTGGCTCTTGTTTGTAACGCAATTAAGTAATCTTAAAATACCCATGGACTGGTACAGTTCTTCCCGAGTCCTAGCTGGACAGAAACATGTGTCAGAATGGTTTCAGCCCCTGCTGTACTCCAGTAAGAGCACAGACTGACATGAAGCATCCTTCTGTCTCCTTTCCCAGATGCTGATAGGTATTTTAGAATGATAAAGGATAGCTAGGATAATGCTGATGTTCAAATACTTTCTCAGAGCCTTTCAAAGAGGAAGGTTATTGGCATTTTTAGTTCAGCACTATTTAGTAACTCTCACCTCTACATAAAGTTTGGGTAGCCATTAAGAATTATATCTGCCAGCTGCGTAAGCTGTTCCTAACCTACTGCCTTGGCAAAGCTTTGATGTTGCCTAGACCTATGTTGAGGTGGGATGTAGACTGGAAACTGAAAATGGTAACTGAGTGCCGAGGTGAAATTTGATAAATGTGGCACTGTACTATTTTCCTCATTCAGATGTGAACTGTTGAGATGCTCTTCTGCCATACAGTAGTTCTTTATTAGAGCTTGGTAGTAAACTTACTAACTAGATGGTAAAACTACCTCGCTGTGTGAGTGTGGGTTTGTTTGGGGGTTTTTTTGTGTGTGTGAAGCCCCATAGCATTAGTAAAAAAAGTGTTACAGTTGAAGACACTTGAAAATTACTCCCAGTCAGGAAATTTCCTGTTGTAAACACTAGTAATATGTAGATCTCTTGATCCACTCCTGATAAGGGTGGGGTGTTTGTTGATACTACTAACACACTGTTTTATTTTGAATATCTGATGCATTAGGGAACAGATCCTGCGTGTGAAGGCTGAAGAGGATAAAATCCCTTTACTGGTTGTAGGAAACAAATCTGACTTGGAAGAGCGCAGACAAGTGCCAGTAGAAGAGGCTAGAAGTAAGGCAGAGGAGTGGGGTGTGCAGTACGTAGAAACCTCTGCCAAAACCAGAGCGAATGTAGATAAGGTAAGACACATGACATATGCTCAATTAGGTTGTTACTGATTGTTTAGTAGCTGAGTGACTAGTTCTTGACTCTTAGTGGGACAAAAGCAAATCTGTAGTTGGGCTTCTGAAAGCCTAGATTATAAAAACTATGTATTTACTGGAATGTGTACACTTAAGCAAATGCCTAGCTTAGCAAGGCACCTGGTACAAGTTAATTCTATTGTCTTGTTTTAACTGTTTTGTACCTGAACCAGTAGCTTTCCAATGGTACATTGGGTAAATGGGTTAAGGATTCCCTGAATTGGTCTTGTTTATAGGCTGTGTCCTGTTACAGCTAGCAAGCTGTAGACAGTTACTGTTCCCCCCTTCCCTACAAAGCTACATATTGTGTGGCTAATGTTGAAGACTTCATTTGTGTTTTCTGCCAAAACTGCTTCGAATTGTGAGAAGAAATCTTCTTGCTGTGTCCCTGTCTTGTTTCTGTTGCTAGCTTCTTGTGTGGTGGTGGATGGGTTATTCTGAAAGAGATGAGCAATGGCTGAAGAGTGTTTGCCCAATAAGGAAAAAGTGGTTTCAAGCTTCCCCTTCATTCACTGTATAGTGGGGGGTTCTTGAAGAAGAGTGTACTGCTTTAGTTTACCAATCCACAGAAGGTGGTCTGAAATTACTGTTGGGCCCCTTAAGGGTTCCAAAGGTGTGTCTTGTTAATTTGCATTTGTTTAAAGATTACAGACTGTAAGTAGTCTTCTCCTTGGAAGTTTCTCTGAATCTTTCTTATAGTCTGAGAATTTTCTGTGCCTGACACTGTCACTGGAATGCTGCAGCTCTTAGGATTCTGAACCAGACAGAATGCTACCTAACAGAGAGTGTGCTTGTAAACACATGGAAAGGACTGGACTAAATGCTTTGCATAGTTAACAAGTGATTTGCCAGGAAATATTTGCTAGGCACAGACAAACATTCTCATGAACTCTGAATGCTACTTGTGCAAGATTGATATTCAGTTATAAAATATTCAGTTATAAAAAACCCTCTTAAAATGGGGCTGTTGAGTGATGTGGTAGCCAGACAAGGTTGTCCTACTTCTTGCCGTTGCTTGACATGCTACATAATGACAGGTCAAGGGGTAACGGGCTTAAATTGAAAGCAGGTAGGTTTAGATTAGATATCAGGCAAAAATTCTTCCTGGAGAGAGTGGTGAGGCACTGGAACAGGGTGCTCAGAGAAGCTGTGGATGCCCCATCCCTGGAAGTGTTCAAGGCCAGGCTAGATGAGGCTTTGAGCAACCTGGTCTAGTGCAAGGTGTCCCTGCCCATGGCAGGGGGGTTGGAACTAGGTGATCTTTAAGGTCCCTTCCAACCCAAACCATTCTAGGATAATTCTGATGGTGTTTGTCACTGGATCTGTGTCTAGACTCACTGTTGTATTAGGTACAGCATGGTGCTGCCTTTTTATTTACTTCTGGGTACAGTAGTTTTTGTCTGCTTTCTGGTGGCAGATCTTGTTTAATCTTTTTTTTTTTTCCCTCCTAGGTGTTCTTTGATTTAATGAGAGAAATCAGAGCAAAGAAAATGTCAGAAAACAAAGACAAGAACGGCAAGAAAAGTGGCAAGAACAAGAAAAGCTTTAAAGAGAGATGTTGCTTACTGTGATGCTTGGGAACTGTAAATTCTGTTTACAGGTGGCATGGATGAGATACCACTAAGGATATAGGGCTGGATTCATGAAAGGAAGTCTGTATTGACTCCTTTACCTTTTGCTTTGCATATCACCTTCAAAATGTGAAAACAGAACTTTGAAACCATTTCTGGTATCCAACAAAACCAATGCCTACTTCAACTGAAATGGGCTCAGTCTTCCCAGTGTCCTTCAAAACTAGAAACAGTTTCAGAACTACAATCCTTCTGCTTGGTTATACAAAGTACTTTCATATTAATGTCCTAGTTTACTCTGTTTCTCTTGAACCTCTACTGGCCTTAACAAATACAGCTGTTCAGGTTCAAACTTTTTTCCCCCACTGTTGCTGCCCTCCTTGATGTTGCAAACTGCAGAGAAGCTAGATGACACCTGGTAAAGGGTTTGAGTCTCCATCTTCTGTTAGTTGTCACTGATATTTCTTACACTGTAATCTGCTGGCTTCCTCCCCACAATCCATGTAAGAAATAGCAACTGACATTTGAGAGTCAGCTCAACAAACTTCCATGTTCTGTTTGGTCAATACAGCATTCATGAATCAAGCCTATGGACTCCATTCAGACTTACCAATTTTGGCATTGCCTAAATAATTAAATACTGGCAAGATGCATTCCCCACCACTGGGCTGTCTTCTCATCCTTAAATTAGTGGTATGGGGTGAGAAAATGACTGTAAGCCTTTCTCCAAAGGAGTAATATTCTCACCATCTCCTTGAAATGCTGATCTGGGTTTCTTCCATGTATTGTGGCTAGACTCAATTACACTCACTCTCCATCCATCATCCTTCCCCTCCCTGGTACTGGAATAGTGAAAATCAGTGTTGATTTCATCAGTTTTGTTTATATTGGAACACTTGTGATCACGTTGGAAAACTGGGAACATCTGCGACTTCATCTTCAAGACAAGAGACAAACCGAGTAAGGACGGGTCACATCACACAATCATGACTTGGAATAGGTGAGGCGTACATGCTACCTCTCAATGATTAGCTGGCTAGCGAGTTGTATGGTGTCAAAAGCAAATGAAATCAAGCAGTTGCCATGTCTGTTACTCACTGATAACTTCATATGTACTGTTTCTGATGCACAGCAACCTAGCACATGGCGATGCATGTTGAGTTTTGTCAGTTATGCAATGGCGGTCATGTATTGATCAACAAAAACCGGCCTAGGAATGGAAGAAGTGTCAGTACTTAACAGGTCATCTTGTCAGCTGACTGAACTGAGCTTTCTGATGCAGTTCAAGTGTAGTTGCCAAAATACTTCTGTCACACTTGTGGAAAGTAACTGTCTCTTGTGGAGTCTCTCAGTGAATTGTGGCTACCTTCTGATTTGAGTGATTATCTTGCTTGTTAACTGGATGCTGAAAACAGTTACTTGGTGAAAGGAGCGTGCAGTGTGGTGGCTCCGTGAGGCATGCTGCAGCACTAAATTGACAAATAACTTGAGGTGATGGAGTAGTGGATACTGTTCAGTACTTAGTATTGTAACTTGAGGTTGAAAAACACTTAACATGTACTAGATTGCTCTTGTGCATTCCACTTCTGAACTTTGAAAAAAAGTAAGATGTGCTAGATACCAGAACCTCTGTTGGTCTGAGGTTTCACAGGGACTTACTGCAAACTCATTGTCTTCCATAACTAGTTCAATCTGTCAGGCAATTCATTGGATTGGGGAAACTGTACTAAATAAAAGGTGCTGTAATCTTGATTCTTGTCAAGTTAAATTCCTTCTTTGTTAATGTTATCTTGTATGTGCAGAAACAATGGTTAACCAATTCTGGAAATATTTATCCTTGAACAGTGTAATCAGTTGGTCTCACAGAGTCAACTTGACAAGACAGTTGTGAAGCAGAGGCTGGGAGCCTGCTGGTTTACAGAACTTGTCATTCAAGCTGTTGTCACCTGTGTCTAAAGCCTGGGCACCTAATGGGACACTTGGAGCTGTAACACTTAGCTGACGAAGTTTCCTCTCGAGCTCCCATGGCTAAAGTCTGTTTCTGAGTGCACATTGTGCGTACAGCAAATGAATGGCCTTCTGGAGGAAGGCAACTCACTTAACCTTTAGGTCTCAACTAAAACCAAACTTAAGTCCTTAATTAACCTAAAGGATAAACAACAGTTGAGTTTGCATTACAAGCTTATCTAGGTCGAGCCCCTCGGAGGCGGATTGTAAAATGTGTCTGACAAAACTGAGTAAGCTTTCCTTGCTGTATGAATAATGAACTCAGCAAAGCTCACAATGAGCAGCTCAGCTGTATTGGCTCAAGAGACTTTCATGCCTTGACCTTTGATCTCTTTAGTCCTAAAGTACCTGACAGTATTTAATAGGACAGACTAATTTCTGCTGGGAGCAGTGAGTCTGCTACTGGTGTTCTTACAGTCCACGTGCTGTTTTCAGGTTACTTTTTTAACTGATAAAGCTCCACCACTGAGGTGGACTTACTTGCAAGGAGGTGTTTGCTGTTTCATGGCTTGATATTGCATCTCTTCAGTCTTCTGTGCTTCTCACCTTTCTGGGAAAGACAAGGCCTGCAGACTAAATACAGCAGCTTTTCAGTATTTCTCTCCTGTACTGGTGACAGACTTCAGTTTAACTTTCCAGTTACAGCCTAAACCATGATAAACAAGGCAGCTGCCTTGGCTATTTCATAGCAGTTGGCAACAAGCATTCTGACTTGTACCAGTGAGGTGATAAAACTGCTGCCTTGGTCTGGAATCCGGTTGCCTCCACTTGATGGTGGAAGTGCCTGAATATGTGCCCTTCTAAGCAGGGGCAATGCCACTTGAGGGTCCTTGAACGATTTCCAGGTGTGTGTCACTGGACATCAGTGGACATCAACATCAGGTGGGTTGACTAGAGTGAACAAAGAGCAGCACGGGGAAATGCTTCCCTTGGACTTGAGGGTGTCCTGTGAGCAGAGTAAGGGGAGCTTCAGCTTCTCATCTGAATGAGTACTTGCCGGTTGGGTACACCAAACGAGGAGGACTTTGGCAAGAGGGGGTGTGTGTGGCTGCCAGCTAGCTGTGCTGTGGCTGAGGCAACTGGAGGCTGTATTATAGATGACGTTCTAGCAGCCTTTGCATGTTGAGTAATTAAAGACCTAAGGCTCTTCTTCATCAGTATAAAGTGCTCTTAAATCTTTCTGGAGCATGGCTGTAGGCAAGTAACCGGATATTTGGAACTGGAGGTCATGCAAGACTTGACTATGCACTTGCACTTAAGCATTCAAATACTGTTCTTGCGTAAGGGCTTAACAGGGGGGTGTTTACTGCAGTGTGCAACCATCTTCTGCGTGGCTTAGCTGTGGGTATTCAAGTGCTCCAGTCTTTCTCCTGGTTTGAGCAAACATGTGAGGCAAGCCCCCTAAGTAGCTATAAGAAATTCCACTTCAAAAAGCAGGTTAAACTCCAGGAGTGCAGTGGCAGACTGGACTTTTTTTTTGGTTTTGAGGAGCATCTCTCCAGATGAGAGTACAGATGCAGCATGAAGTGCATCTTCAATGACTTGTGCCATGTGTGTTCTACACAGACTAACACACACTTCCTGCAGTTTCCAGGTGAACGCTTGGCTTGATGAAGAGTAAGATGTACGCGTACCTTTACTGGGTGTTAAACCAAGTAGGATGTTAATAGCTATGTGAAGTTCCAGTTGAACCCTGTCTGGCTAACATAATGCTTAAGAATAAGGCACAAAGCTACAACCTGGAATGTACTAAGAGGTGGGGAGAAATGCATCTAAATAAATGTCCACCAAGATCTTTAAAGGTGTCCAAAGCATTAAGCCAGTACTTGGGGCTGACAGGCCTATCAGTTCCTGCTCAAAGAGAGGATAGTGTTTATCAAGTCAACTCAGCTTATGTAGACAGAAGCTTTCTTTAATTGCTAGAAGCATATGTTGCAATGTTCACCTCCTGTTGGCTTTATAGTTGGGAGAAGAGGAACAAAAAAGCTATGAATTTCACTGTAATCTCCACACTTCATGGGAATGGCAGGTGTTCCTCTTGGGAGGGGAAGGTGTTAGAGATAACACCGAGTAAGAGGTTTAGCATAGAGGAAGTGATTGTGATTGCAAGATTTTAATAAAAATGCCTCTAAACTGTGTATGTTATACTATATAATGAAAATTCTTTTTTTTTCCTTTCAGAGCTTTGTCTCTAACTTGCACAAACATTTTTAATGTCTATGAAACTGGTCACTTTTCATTATCATGCTAATACAACTGATTTGTATTACTATTGATAATAAAAAGAAAAACAGGCATAATATTTGTTTGTTATTGATTTTTACAGCATTCTAAAAGCATGTCTAACCCTCAGATTCTTGAACCAGGCAATGGCTGACTCTGCATGTCTGAAACTCACCTTTGTATCAAACCTGTAACATGATGATGTCACAGACTGGGAAGGGAGGTGGTGACTGAGGACCCCACCATCAGTTTTCCTGAAATGGTCTGTGTTATGTTTCAGGGCTGAACTGGTACAGGAGTTTGATTCTTTCATAGTTAACTTTCCACAACCTAATTGGATCAGAGAGCTTGAATCAACTGGGTAAATGACAGTTGCTTGGTTTCTTCTTTCTTCAGTCAGTAGCTCAAGTGACAGAATAAGCAACGCTGTGCATGGGAGTAGTGATCCTTCGTCTTCTCAGCGTGCCGGAGTCTTCTCCGTGATGGTTTGCTTTGTGATGACTGGGTGGTGCGGCAGAGAAGCCGGGATGCCCCTGAGGCAGGATGGTTCAGGACAGACTCGCTGCCCTGTTACGGGTAGAACGGGGATCCTCAGTAAACCTCAGTTTGTGCTGCGGCTGCCATACGAACTGGAAGGGGAACATCCCCTTGCTGATGACTCCTGGGATTACAGCAGTTCACATAACCTTGTTGACACGGTGCGTGCCTGTTTGCCCTGTCTTTCAGATCACGGCGGTGGTTTCAGGTAGCTCCCCTTTCCCGTCAAGTGACTTTTAAAATACTTCGCAGCAGGGAAAGGGTAGTGTGAAGAGCATTGCGTTGGGGTCGGAGAGGGTGCTGAGCAGGGCTGCAGTACCGCCCTGTGCCCAGCGCCGCACCTTTTTCTGTGGGTGTTCTGCGGG